AGGGAAAAAGTTGCGGCATCATGGATTTTTTGGCTGTTGTATTGGAGCTCATTTCAGGGACGAAGTCAATGTCATCAAGGTTGAGGAATAAATAACCGCAGTAGGAACAGCAGTAAATGTAAGAGTAACAGGTAGTAGTAATTTCATTATTAATAACAACTTAATGACAAGTGCAGTGACAACAGCACGATACAATACTACACATGAATTGCTGCTAATTTCCGTAAAACTAAATGCATATGATTCTCAAATTTTGTCGGACTATAAACTCCATCGCAACAATAACTTGTATATATGTTCTTATCCACAAACAAATTATAAATAAATCACTTTCATTCCACAGGTGTATCATCCGCTCTCGTCAACACAAACACGACATTAATATTTACCAACCGAATCACTTTCCGAACAATCCCACAGCCCTTTAGTCCGAGCCAAGCGAGGACCTTCACCTCTCCGCGCACAACGAGACGCGGGAGTGTACTGATTATAACGAATTTCGGCCGGCTAAGGAGCGTCCTGCTGCAACGCAACCCTTCCCCGGTTCGACGCAGCACTGACCCACTTCAGGCGGGGGAGCGGCGACTCAAGGTTAGGCTGGGTTTGAGCGCGTCAATAGCTGAGTGTGCGCGCTCGAATTGCATGGCAGAGTGCGCTTGGATGGACCGCTTTTGATTCGTTCGGTTATGCGTTGGTGCGCGTGTTGTTCATGTGTATCTGTTTAGATATACAGGTAATTACACTTACGGAAATTGCCATCCATGCACACACACAAAAATATTAATCTGCTCTCTGAAACACACATGTCTGCGCTATATGTGTGTGTGTGTGTGTGTTGTGTGTGTGTGTGTGTGTGTGTGTGTGTGTATATATATATATATATATAATATATAATATAATATTATATATATATTGTACACACACACACATACGTACACACACACACACACACACACACACACACACACACACCACACACACACGTATATATATATATATTATATATATATATATATATATATATTATATATATATATACATATCATCATCAGCCTGAGGCAATCCACTGCAGGACGTAGGCCTCCCCCAATCTTTTCCAACTTTTCCTGTCGTGTTTTTGTGTCCAGTCTTGTCCCCAAAATTTCGATGTTTCGTCACGCCACCTTGTCACTGGTCTGGCCCTTGGCCTCTGTATGGTATCTATAGTCCAGTCTGTTACTTTGTCTTTGTCTATCTGTCGTCTTGTCTCCGACATACATGCCCTGCCCATTGCCATTTCTTTTTTTTTATGCTCCGAGTATATTTCCACTTCGTTTGTTCTCTGATCCACGTCGCCCTCTTCCGATTTCTTAGGCTAATTCCAGCTTCGATCTTTCCATTCCTCTCTGGGCACCTTAGTTTCCTCTCCAGTAATATGATTGTTGTCCACGTTTCTGACCCATAGGTCATAACTGGGAGGACGCATTGGTTAAAGACTTCTTTTTAAACATACTGGCAAAAAGCCTCTTAGTATACTACTGCGCCTGCTGAAGGCGCTCCAACCAAGACTGATGCTTCGCTTTATTTCTTCTTCGCTCGATGTGTTTGTCTGTACGAGTTGCCCTAGAAATATATTTGTCTACTACCTCTAGGTCTTCGCCTTATACATGTATATGTTCAAATTGAACTCTGCTGTTGAACATGATCTTAGTCTTTTTCTTGTTCATCTTAAGTCCGACATTTAGACTTTATTCAGATCGTTTATTAATTGTTGCATTTCAATTTGCTGATTTCACTGAAGAGAACAATTATCGTTTGCAAATCTGAGATTGTTTAAGTATTCGTCTCCTATTTTGATACCCTTCCCTTCCCATTCTAGTTTCTTGAATATTTCTTCGAGGCAGGCAGTAAACAGTTTTGGAGAGATGGTGTCGCCCTGCCTAACGCCTTTTCAATTGGTATTTTATCGGTCCCGTGTGGAGCTTGATGGTTGCTGTCCCATCCTTGTATATATCTTTCAATATTTTATAATAACCTCCTCTTACTCCCTGCTGTCGAATAGCACCTGCTACAGCTGGTATTTGTATAGAGCCTTTTAATAATCGATGAATGCCATACGCAGGGGTGTAACTATATTCATTTTTTTTCTTATTTGGGTGATCGTGTGGATGTGGTCTGTTGTGAGAATCCACTACGAAAGCCTGCCCATTCTCTAGGCTGCTTTTAAATCCAGACTGTCGGAGGTGCGAGCTGTGATGACTTTTGTGAACAGCTTGTAAGTAACTGAAAGGAGCCTTATGGGTCGGTATTTTTTAGCTCCTTTTTTATGTATCAAAATAATCGATGCATTTTCCCAGGCTTTCGGAGTTTTTCCATTGAGAAGGAATTTGTTAAAAAAAAATTGGCTAGTTTCACTGTTGTAATTTCTCCTGTGTCTAATGTAAGGTCTATACTAATTCCGTCTTCACCTGGTGTTTTCCCTCTCTTCATGCGCTGTTTTCTTTCTTTTGTGATATTAGGTACGTCTGTAGTTACCCTGTTTGCTTCTATTTGTGGCTGTTCATTTGAGTTGTATAGATCCCTGTAAAAGTCTTCCACTATTTGATTTCATTCTGTTATGTGTACTTCTCCGTCTGGTTTCTTTTATTGCATACATTTGATTTCTCCCTATTCCTAGTCTTCTTTTAGCTGCTTTCATGCTGGTACCTGAAATACTGCTTCATTTATTATTTGAGTATTGAATTTCCGTACATCTTCCCTCTTCTTTTTATTTATGGTCTTTGTTAGTTCAACCAATTCTATCTTGTCCCTGTTTGACGATACTTTCATGGCCCTACGTTTTTGCATAAAGTTTCTACCGAGAGCTTGCTGGAGCTTTGCTTGTCGTTCTTGCCGCCTACTTCAAGTTCAGCTTCCTTTATTATGTCATTGAACTGTTTGTTGATTTGGTCGATGTTGAGATCTCTTCGTGAGAGTGATATCTGTTTTGGATGTTTAGGCTAAATTCTGTTGCTCTGATCAAGTTAGCCAAGTTTGGCTGGGTTTCATTAGTTTGTTCCTTTCCCTTCTGAGATGTATTTTAATTTCGCCTCTCACCATTCTATGGTCGCTGCCTACATTTACTTTATAACCTCTACATTTTTTATTATATCGCGCCTATTTGAAATTATGAAGTCAATTTCGTTTTTGACGTCAGAAGGCGACTTCCATGTCCACTTCCGTTCTAGTCTTTTTTCGAAGAATGTATTCATAATACTGAGTGATCGAGCCTCCGCAAATCGACTAGCATTTGTCCCCTCTCGTTCTAGTGCCTACACCGTGGTTCCCTACTGCGGTTTCTCCTTTTTCTATAGATAAATATAAAATATATATATATATACATATATACAAATATATATTATATATTTATATATATGTATAATAATAGTATATACATATATGTATATATATAAATAAAGATTTATATATATATACATATAAATATATTTATACATATATATAAATAAATACATGTATATTTATATTACATACATGTAAATAAATGCATTTGTATATGTATATTATTTATTTATATAAAAATATATATAAAACATATCACTAAAACAGCAGCACAGGATGTTATGAATGTAGCTGCGTCAAATGAGTTTATTTTAATCCCCGAATGTTTATTCCCGCATTTTTTTTCTCAGAAAGCGGATTGCTCCTTTTAAAATGCCCACATTTCCAAGCAAGTGGTTCAAACGACACTCAAATAGTTAATCTCGAGGTTAATCCATTAGATTGTATGAAAACGAAAAATTGAGATTTGTTTTTGTCTGAAGGGTTACAGTAAGCTTAACCGTTATGTTTTAGGATAATGTGCGTTTCACCTTAGGCAACTCCTATCTTTGGAAATCCTTAGGAAATCCCCCGAAATCCAGCAATCCGTAACAAATCTGTATGGAAATCCGATGTCAGTAATTTTAGGGTGGGGGGGATTTCGGAAATCCCGAAATCGACGCATTTGGGTTGTGAATGCCCTCGCAATGAAATGGGCATTTTACGTGTATCTATTCTTTACTTGTTCCTCAGTTGGGAGTAACTCCTCAATAATGAATGTTTTGTTTTTATTTTCACTGTTGAGAGTTATACCTGCCGCTTGAGTATCCCACAACTTATAAGAATATGTTTAATTTTCACATACATAACATGAAGATATCAGAATTTGTTTTATTGCCTATCATAAACATTAGTGGCAACTCAACTCCATCTCCTCTATGTAGTTGATGACGTCATTACTTATCAGTACATGATTGGTAGGATTAACTAGCTCGTTCTACGCCTGTGCAGGATTTAATTTTGAGCTAAGGCGTCTTCTGTAAGCGTCATAAAAGTTCAATCCGGATTCAATTTTAATCCAAATCCACAGTACTTGCACAGATGTAAGACACACTGCCAAACGCACAGGGCAATGCGATTATCAGTAACTCTGCTCTTTTACACAGAAGAGCGGGTATTTGTGAAGGGGCAATTAGCAGCTACCCTCTTTGAGTTTCATATCACATACAGACGTTTATAAAGAGACGTTTGCTAGAGAGAATAATATATATACACAGATACGATGATATTATATCATGAAGATATGTATTTGTGCCACTACAAATTAATATAGACATGGGGTAGGATAGTTTTTTCAGAATGTTGCTATCGAGGTTTTAAAGTCATTGTAATATAAAGATTCAGGAAGTTTGTACTTTGAATTCGAGATCTAATCGTGATATTAAAAGCTTTCTTGTTTAGTTTATTGATTTATAACAGAAGTTGGGAGTTTTCTAACCTGGATATAACATTGCCTTTCTGTATCTGTAAACTCTGGAATTCTCTGTGGGATTTCTTTTTCGTTTTTATTTTCACTGTTGAGTTATAGTGCAGTTTGAGTATTCCACAACTTATAAGAACATATGCTGATGAATTTTCATATACATCTTTAACATGAAAATGTCAAATTTTGTTTATTATTGCCTATAACAAACATTAATGGCAACTCAACTCCATCTTTTCTTTTCTAATGAGTTGCTGACATTGTCATTATGTATCAATGCATGATTGGTGGGATTAACTAGCTCGTTCTGTGCATGTGCAGGATTCAACTTTGAGCTTAAAAATTTATGCTAATCCAGAGGTGAATTAAAAGTTGATCCCGACACTGTCATTGCACATGCGCACTAGATATCTGGATTAAGCTTAATACTGGATTAACTCTTATGGCATGTACAGAAGACGCCCTTAATGCTGGTCCAGAGACGCATTGAAATTTGATCCTGGACGCTGTCATTGTGCATGCGCACTAGAGATCTGGATTAAGCTTCATTATCACCGGGAAACTAACGTCGGTGCATAGCCGCATCCACCAACGAGGATCCCTCATAGCCCATCTCAAGCTCCTCACGACAAATTTGGTCGATCTGCCCAAGCCACGACTTTCTGGGTCGTCCCACAAGCATCCTCCACCCTGGCCTGTCTTCTACAGAGACAGCCTGGTGGGCAGGATCATCCTGTGGGAAGCCATATAGCTTGAGTTGGCGAACACGGGACTAACAGGAAATAAGCTCGACAGCCCCCCTCCCCCACTCCATGCACACACTTTACAACACTTTCAATGCCAGTATACAAGCTTGCTATTAGTCCAATAATTCTTGTTGGAATTCCTCTCAATCTCAGGATCTACCAGAGTGATTCCCGATGCACCGTATCGAACACTCTTGGAGTCGATGTAGGCTGCAAGCAGCCCACGCCTGAACTCACGATGGTGCTCTACAATGACTCGAAGTGCAAGGATACTGTCTATTGTGGACTTACCAGGAGTGAACCCAGATTGCTCCGGCCTCTGGTGCCTCAGTAAGTGGTCATTGATTCGTCTCAGAAAGACGTGGGCGAGAACCTGGTATATTGAGCAGTGTGATGCCTTGGTGATTGCTGCAATTCCATTGGTCCCCCTTCCCCTTCTAGAGAGGGATGACCACACCCCTCAATAGCTTAGGGGAAACGGTACCAGCTGCCAGATGGCAGTCAGGATGTAACCCCTGCACCATAGGTTCACCACCAACCTTAAACAGTTCAGCGGGGATGCCGCATATACCTGCTGCTTTACCACTCTTCAGCTTGGAGATCGCCCCCCTAACTTCAGTTAGAGAGGGTGGATCCTCACTGATAGTTGGGTCCAGCAACGGAATCTCGGCACTAACCGCATCCAAGTTAACGGTTGGTGGGTCAACTTGGTATAACTGTTCAAAATGCTCTGCCCAGCGCTCCTGCACCATAACAGGATCTGAGACGATCTGGCCACTTACTAAGCAAACTGCCGTCACCTTTGAAGTGGGCTTGGAGTTCAGCTTTCTCAGGGCTTGGTATGCAGGACGAAGGTCATTTACTAAGAAATGGCCTTCGACCTCCTCTGCAAGACTCCTAATAAATTGTTCCTCGTCCCTTCTCAAGTGACTGTGTTCTGTGTAACTGAGAACGATTCAAATCCCGATCCCTGTCAGATGAGCCGCACAAGCATCTGTGGCTTCCAGTGTCTCCTGCGAGATGAAATTCTATCTTGCTGCTGGGCGTTCACCAATTGATTCTTGAGCTGCTCGATCACAGCCAGAAGCGTCATTGAAGTCACCCAGAACAATACGAATATCTCGCCGAGGACAACTGTCTGACACAGATGCAAGTTTAGTGTAGAATATCTCTTTCACGTCGAGTTTACAAACATCGATAGGAGCACTAAGAGACAAAGCCAAATGCTAGCTTCAGTCTCAGTAGTATTAAACGCTCATCGACCGGAGTAACCTCTACTACCGAGGGCTGAAGTCTGCTGGAGATGGCCATGTCTACTCCCTGAAGATGGTGACCGTCGCTACGGCCCGACCAGTAAGGCCTTGTTCAGACGAGCTCTTTTAGTGGCCCGACTGCTAGAAGCCCGACTACTGAGTGAATGTTCACACACAGCCCGACTCGTCTCTCCCCCACTTGTATTTTTTTATTTTATTTTTTTTTATCCCTCTTCAGTTGCTGATCATATACAGCTGGTAATGGATGTAGAAGTGGCATGTGCATGGGTTTTATATCGTCGTTTGCATATATATATATATATATATATATATATTATATATAAATATGTGTGTGTTTACATATATATGCATATATATACATATATATATGTATTTATATATACATATATACATATATTTATATCATATATGTATAAATATATATACATACATATGTATATATATACATGTATAAGGAAGTGCATATATATAAGTATCTATATATGTATATATATATATATATATATGTGTGTGTGTGTGTGTGTGTGTGTGTGTGTGTGTGTGTGTGTGTGTGTGTGTGTGTGTGTGTGTGCACACCACACACACACACACACACACACATATATATATGTATGTATGTATTTATATGTATATTATACCTATATATACATACATAAATATATATTGTATAATATATATGCATATATATGTATATATACATATATATATACACATATATGCATATATATACATATATATATAAATACATATAAATATATGTGTATATATATGTATATATACATATATGTATATAAGTATGTATATATATGTATATAAACACATACACACAAGCACACACATATATACATGTATATATATGTAAATACACATATATATACATATTTATACACATACACACACACACACACACACACACACACACACACACACACACACACACACATATATATATATATATATATATATATATATATACACATATGTTGTTGTCGCTGTGTGTGTGCGGCCTCATAGCAACACATGTACCTCGAGTGGTTGAGCAGTAGGGCGACTATGAGGGGGATTTCGAGTCGCGCCACAGGTCAGCCACAAGCCACTACATGTGTGCACTCCTGTTCACTTCCATTAGCCTGGCAGTCGCACTTCTAGTAGTAGGGCCACTAAAAACGTTCGTCTCAACAGGGTCTAATAGGTGTAGCCACCTAAACTGATCGTGCCGCTGCCAGATTAAGCTTCAAAACTGGATTAACTCTTATGGCACGTACAGAAAACGCCTTTACATAAAGTCTGAATCAGAAAATGAGTTGAAGTTTCCAAACCCATGCGAAGACAATTGGTATTTAAAAAGAAAGAAAGGAATAATTGCAGAGTAGTTAGATACTTTTCCCAATTCACTGTAAGCTTTTATAATTCTTGTATTGAAATAATAAAATGATGTCAACATTTCAAGCAATTACTATAAGATAGTTATGAAAGAAATGGCCTTTTTATAGATGTTATTTTCTGATGCATTTGTATTTTGGTCCGCAATACATAATATACATAAATCTATGGAAACGTTTCCAACGTTTCCATACTTTGCCGTATCCGCCTCACATAATTGATATTTCTCTAAAAAATATCTTCACTGCGAGCAAAAGTACCTCAAAATTTTAATCTTTAAAGAAAATATAAGAATTTTTCTATAATAGATGATATCATGAAATTTACAGCAACTTTGATTGCCGTTTTAATATCTTCTTTAGTAAATGCAACCCGACATTAATAAAGGCGGAAGAGAGTGATATGAGTGTTTTGGCGCCGACGCCTCATTTTCTTATTTTCATTATAAATATTGATACGTTCATTGATTGCTTTTATGTTACGGCAAGAATGAAAGATAAGTGAGTATTGAATATTGTACTAGAATATGCACATCTAGGAGAAAGGGTAAAATATTAGTATTTTGCAAACGAAATCATTACCCATGGCTCAAGCAAAGATAGTAAAGGAGAGTGGAAGTTTTTACGGTTTGAAATGTAAAAAATAATGAAATGGGTAGGATAGGTAAAGGGCATTGGTAAACTAGGCATTTGTGCAGGTGATAGTATAGATAAGAGTTGCCTTGCTTTGCATCGTTGTAACGTGTGTTATACCCAACTCTCCCAGAGCCTCCAACTGCAGTTTGTCACTGGCTTGTATGGTAATTCGGTACAGGTCCAGTTCCATACAGCCTTCGTTAGACAAAAAATAGTATGTGCAAATGATAGAGCGAGTGATTCTAAGAAACTTATCTTCTGTGAACTTTAACTGGTAATTCTTTACAGGGTATTTTTCTGGAATATGTCTGCCAAACAGATCGTGACGATTTTGGTATCTCTGAATTCCTCTCACTGTATAGTTTTCCAATATATAGAATTTATTGTGTGGAAACCCCTCAAACCGCACATTCTTGTAGAAGGCTGTTCCCCCTGTAACCCCCCATGGGGGCTGCCGCCCATCAACCCACCCCCAGGAAAACAAATAATTGCCCACGTATTCACGGCAGGAGAAGGTCTAGAACAGACTTGGCAATGCCACTCCCACATGGTGGTTGTCCGCTTGTACATGCCGTGAATACGTGGAGGATTCTTTGTTTTTTTGGGAGGTTGGGGGTGTTGCAGGTGGTAAAGCCCCCTTTGTGTATCATTTACATTTTACCCTGCAATTTCCCTGGTACTTTTCATGCCCTCCCCTGCTATTGGGGCCAAGAATGTAGGACCGGGGCTCCCCCAACATATTTGCATTGTAGATGCATATCTATCCATTTAGACATAATCTTTAATTTGTCTAGCCTAGTGTATCCATACTGTACAGATTAAGCACTTGTGCAGCTTGTTGAGTAAAATTGCAGATGTTAAAGATATGGACTCAGCAAACTTTGTCAGCCATATTACTTAATTACTTGATTTATCATTGAATATTTATGCCCTCAGCTATACTCCATGCAACTTACACTCAAAATCAAATGAATGTTCTAAAATGATGATTGTAGTAATAAAATGGATAAATGAAGTAGAGATAAAAGTATGTAAATATATGATACAGTTGTCTTTTGCTATTATTTACTTTTCCCTTTCTATGATATTTACATGTTTATTATCATTTAATCTAAATACTTGTTTGTAATATATATGATTATCTGTAATTCTCTTAAGACATTTGTTGGTAAAATTACTACTTTCACATTTGACAGTTAGCTGTAACCCAAATTATGTGTAAATTGGTATCAGTGCATGAATATAGAAGCAATGAGAAAATAATAGTAGCTAGTTATACTATGTGTTACTGCATGGTAATTAATTTATTTGAAAGTATATATAAATTTGAGAGGGTGAACCTTTTGATGGGAAAGTGTTTTCTTTTGGTGGGAGAACAGCTATTTTTTACAAAAAACTTGATACTGCCCAATTATATCTAAATTGCACAACTTGGTGAAGTATGTTACCCAGATGCTTCATGACTGAACAATGGGGAACAAATAAAGCATGGATAGTTTGTATTTTTCTTTTTCGTTCTTCTGATGAGTGCTATTAAGGCAAAACGGTAATCTGCAAATAATATACAAAGGCAGATATAGGCAACAGATGGTTTTAATATATATTCGTTGAATAATTTTATTTTATTTTATTAATATTATTATTATTAACAAATGAAAGCATTTATCTTTTAGTGATTGGAATCTATAACCCGTATAGTTAAGCAGAAATAGATTATAGTCTTTGATTATTATGTAAGGACATTAACATTTGATTAGGAAATTAAAACAAGGAAGGTCTGTTTATTGATTGAATTTTTCATGCATTTAATTTTGAATATTGAAAAATAAGTAGCAAAATATGTTATTTATTAACAACAGAGCTTATATTTTAACATTATTTATTTAACAACAGGGCTTATGTTGTTATACTTGGAAAGTAATATTGTTATTAGAGAAAATCCCAGCTCGATAACCTTAGGGTGACCGCAAATTTATATGGCCAGCTGTACCAATTATATTTGCAGCCTCAGTACCTGTTAGTACCTAGTGAAAGGCCAGCTAACTACCAGGATGTATATTTTGGTGAGACAGAGTTTGTACAGATCCCTGGCAATTTATTGCCAATTAACCCCAAGCTGCCAGGCATGGCATGTACATACATGCCATTGCCCATTGTGTGTGTTGAATTTAGTAATTGATTTTACATATAGATAGCTGGCTCCACAATTACTAAGTCACCAATGAGCCAATTATGCGAACTGCCTGTCTCACCTCTTTACCCTTTTTCTTGATTTTCGATGATATTTCCTTATATTATTACTGCTGTTAGCAATGTTAGTAACAATAAAATAATTATAACGTTTATAACATAAAAAACAGTGTCAGTATTGAAAGCATTAGTAAAAAAAAGCGTTTTCCCGCTTTTTCAAGGAAAAGTGAGGTCACAAGATCTACTAATTGACTCCTTTGTGGCTAAGCATTGGCAGAGCCATCTATGTGCAGAAACATTTAACCCAGTAATGCCAAAGGAAACACGCCATTTTCCTGTCGACATTGGGTTAAGGAGCCATGACCTGACAAGCTTTACCTTGCCAGAAAAATAAATAATGTAGGTTTCTTGACCTTTGTGGAAGTGCAAAATGTGAAGCCTGTGGTGACTACATGACTGTGACATTATATTGTTGGACCTCCGACTTTAGACTCTACATCATAAATCAAAGCAAGTTGTAAGTGAATTTGTATAGAACACAGCTTGTATAATTATGTGTGCTTGATACTTTCTGTCACTTTTACCTCCCATATATTGCAGACCCTTATTACTGTTAGCTTTTAAAGAAAATGCCATAGATGAGAAGTAATTAATTTTTTCTGTTCATTTTAGCCAAAGATTACTGTGTACTATATATCTGGTTGTGTGAAACTGAAACTGCACCCTTTCATGTATCATATAATACAGACTTTAGATTATGAGATAGTTTCATGCATAGGTGTTTTATCATGAATAAGAATTTTCTGTATTGGTATATTATGTTGATATAGGATATATCATGTCTTGTATAATTTAATGTACAATACAGGTTGATCATTCATAGGTTATGTTTATATTGCAAAGAGTAGGTTTTTATACAATATGTCCATTATGTACAAGGGTACTTAATGTATAGACTAGTTTAGATTAAAAGAGGGATTGCGGTATCAGTAAAATGTGTTTTGCATAGGGTGGGTATATGTATAGGAGGATTATTTGTAGATTTGGTTTATCTTAGTAGATATATGTACAGATTAAGTATATGTATAGGATGAAATGGTTCTTGAAACTGGCTGTACATAATTAAATGAAAAAAGAAAATGATGGATATTATTGGTATGTATTTTCAACAGAAAATAGAAGCCATGGAAGTGGATGATTCTGACTATGAGAATGAATTGGGTCCAGTACCTGAGAGTGAGCTTCAGAAGCAAGTAGATGTTGCAAAGATTGTTGACAGAGCTTTTGAACATGTCAAGCACAATCAGGCAGCAGAAGAAGTAGCAGGTAAAGTAATTGGGATGTATTTAAGTTGTCAAAGCCCCTCAACTTTGTCTGAGTTATGGTAATGAGATATCTTCCTTTACTCTGTAAACAAATGTAATTTTTCTTATACTGGGTAACAATAAGTTTTTCTAACTAATTTTGCATCTTATTTTGTCTATCAGATATCATAGCTGGTACAGAGGGACTTTGTTCTTTAGAAGGAGTAGCAGTTCAAGACCCTTTACCTCCGGAGATTCAGGCAAGAAACTTTAGGGTATCGCACACTTCCAGTGGAGGTATGTATTGATCAGAGTTATGGTCTGTAATGCTCATATATATCAATTAGGGCTGTGTGCTTTGGAATTTCAGTGCTGTTATTTAAATGGTGTAATTGGAATATCTGGTTTGATTCCATGTTTTGTGTTTTTTAGGCAGAGTACAATATTTCCAAATTTTCAAAATTCTCTGGTCCAGAGAGAACTTTCTTCACTTTTTTTATAGAAAGTATCATGTTTCACAACTAATCAGCATATGCATTTTTAAAACATTTCCAGTGGGGTCTGATGGAACAGGATCTCGGAGTATTCACCTTCGCTACTCAGGCACAGCAAGCTTCGAAGTTCAAAATTTTGCAGCAAGTGGTGAAACTGTTGATGATCTTTTAAATGCCTCACCATCCCTGGAGACATTGCACAAGCTGAACTCAACATTACAGAAGCGGTTTGAAGAGAAACTAGTCAAACTAGAGAGGATATTACAGACCAACCTTGCCAGACAGGTCTCATTGTTATTTGATTTAATTTTTATGATACTTGATCTCTGTTTTGATATGTTATTTAGTACTTGTATAATTTGGTTTAAAGCATTTCAGATGAATTACCCTCCATGACATATTCATGTCTAATACTAGTCACATGGCAGTTCCCGTATATGTAAAAAAAAAAAAGATCAAAATTTATGAATCCATAGTAGTTCTGCTTAAGATACACAGTGTAACCGCTAGTTTACTTTTTTCTTTAGAAAGATCAGTTACTTTGTTAGATAAATGATATGGAGCAGTAAGTTGTTCACATAATAGTACTTTGATCACACAAGTCTGTGATACTTATTCTCTCTTATGGTTTATTCTTTGTATTTTGTTTTTGTTTCCAAGAGTGTAACAATGTCATTTGAAATTAGTACTCCCATTTTGGAATGGATAATGAAACGCTTATATCCCACCACTTTAATAAGATAGCAAAATAATGCTTTTGTTCACTATATACCCTGACACAGATAGGTGAGGAGATTACTGAGTGAGCAAGTGTGACCAGTTACTTGTGTGCTGTTAGGGCTGTTTTACTAGCCTCTCCCAGTCTTTTTGATTTCATGCTTGTTCTTGCACTTATACAAAGACGATATTTATATATCTCAGTTGGAATGTGCATGGGTACTAAACATGATAAGATATATAAAATATATAATCAAGGTATGATTAAGACATCATGTGAAAATATACACGCAAAGATTATAATAGGATTAACATAATTATTAGTTACTATCATACCTATGATATTATATATATATATATATATATATATATATATATATATATATTATATATATATATATATATTTATACAGGCACAGGCACACGCACAGGCACAGGCACAGGCACACGCACACGCACACGCACACGCACACGCACACGCACACGCACACGCACACGCACACGCACACGCACATGCACATGCACACACACACATACACACACACACACACACACACATATATTATCTATATAAACATATATATACACATGTATATATATTCACACATATATATATACACACACATATATACACACATATATATACACACACACACACACACATATATATATATATATATATATATATATATATATATATATATATATATATATATATATATGGTACATTGTTGACTATCACTTTGTTTGTTTTACAGGACTATTGAGTAGTTTTCTCCCCTTCTTAGATTTTTCAACAGTCACTTATAAGTTACATGACCATGGAAAAAGTGTATATGTAAGTGTAGGTGATGTTTATTTTCAGGCACAACTAAAAGATGAAATCTCACAAGACAAAGCGAACCTTGAACAGGAGAAGAAGGGAGATGCAAGGGAAAAAGCGCCTTTTCGAGTTTCAAATTTCTGTGTTCCCTATTTTAAAAATCGCAGCGGGATGAATGCTCCTAAGAATGAAGATGCTAAGTTCAAGCTTGACAACGGCTGCCTGGACCTTTATACAACACGTGCTCGCCAATGTATGTAATATTAAGCATTTATAGTTATATCTATTTGATTAATGATAGCAGTGAGGAATTTTCATGATAATGATGTGATGATGATGATAATTGATGTTATTATAATTTTATGATAATGATAATTATAATAGTTATTAATGTTAATATTGTTATTATTGTTATTTTTTGTTGTTATTATTTCATCATCATCATCATTATAATCATCATCATCATCATCATTATCATTATCATCATTATCATTATCATCATCATCATTATAATCATCATCATCATCATCATCATCATCATCATCATTATCATTATCATCATCATCATCATCATCATCATCATTCATCATCATCATCATTAATCATTAATCATCATTAATAATCATCATCAATCATCATCAGTCATCATCATCA